AAAACAGGATATTGATTTATGAATCGATATTATTGTTATTTGTATAATATTAGTAAAATATGATGAAGATGTTTATATCTAACTTTGTATACATCAATAGTACCAAGAACTGTAATTGTGTAATGAGGGGAAAATGGAAAAATATGGGGAAGAAAGAAGGATCAGGGAAAAAATACTGGATTGTGCAGTACTAAATAGATTTATATTGAAGAAGTTAATGTTAAATATGTGAACTCAGACAACACGTTGTTTACTAAGCTCTAAAGATTGTAATTCTTAAAATTTAATAAAACTTTTTTAAAAAAAGATGTTGAGCATTTTGTATACAAAGTTACAAAGAGAACCTTTTGTAATCAATGAATTTTATGAAAGGTGAATTTTGATTTAACTCTGGTAAATTAACATCTTCTTTTATTTTTTAATACAACTATCCACCAGCTAAACCTGGGGTACTTGTCAATCCCCTTACAGTTGCTTTATTACCCAATAAGTCTTTATTCTCACAGTCTTGTTAATTAAATTTCTTGAAAGGCAAAAAGAGGTTAGATTATAGAATCTGGCTAAGTGTAATGCATACTTGTATGCTATTTAACCTTTCATTCTACTTTTCATTGGGATGAAATGTATTTAAATCTTGCTTCCATATCATGTATGCATTGAACAATTTAGCATTGCAGTGTGCAAAAGACAATGGACTTCCCATATCAAACTTATAAAAGTACAGTGGTACCTCGGTATTCATCAGTAATTCATTCCAGACGATGTGATGAATAGTAAAACTGATGAGTACTAAGAAAACCAGGTGATTTAGAGCTGCTATTTTAGCTGGAAGAAATAGTGAATCACGAGGCAGCCGACGTCAGGAAGTTCTTCCTTACGCATCAACTACCCGGAGAAAGATGAGTGCCGGGACAAGATTTCTGCTTCAAAACATGTAGAATACCGAATTTGACAAGTTTTGAAGCAGTTGAGTGCCCAGATATTGCTTCCAAATACAACTTTTTTAAAAAAAATATGATCAAATTATGTAAAGAACTAGACAATCCATGCCCTATTGGATCATCATTTCAGAGATATTTCCTTACCTAAATAGAGAAACAGAATGACCACAGATGGGCAAAATAAACCAGTAGGAGCAGGAGCAATGACTCGTCGCTCCCATGTAACGCCGCTGCGGCACGAGCTGCACTGGCTGCCTGTGGCCTTCCGAGTGTGCTTCAAGGTGTTGATTATCATCTTTAAAGCGCGCCATGGCATTGGACCTGGTTACCTCCGAGACCGCCTTCTGCCACAGATTACCTCTCACCGGCCGATACGCTCCCACAAAGAGGGCCTCCTCAGGGTGCCGTCAACCAGACAGTGCCGGCTGGCGACCCCCAGGGGGAGAGCCTTCTCTGTCGGAGCACCCACCCTCTGGAACGAGCTGCCCCCAGAGATCCGGGTGATTCCGGATCTCCCCTCCTTCCGCCGCGCCCTCAAGACTTGGTTGTTTCAGCGGGCAGGACTGGCCTAGGGGTATTTTAAA